CCATTGCACTTGAATGCTGGCCTAGCAGGATCAGCATAATTAAGCGTCAGAGCAAATGACTTTGCACAAACACATACGTCAGTATCAGGGTGAGTTGTCGGCGTAGTTTTTGGTGTTGGGAATGGTAGCCGTCACACAGAAAAATTGTTTCCTGGTGCTGTGTTTGCATGGGGGCATAATGCTTTTCCAGCAGTATAATAAGTTGCATTTTCCCAGTTGAAAATTTCTTAAATATATAAATTTGGTTAATTAAAGAAGGAAAATAAAGGATAGAGTTAAAGGAGAGGTGTAGCAAGAAATGGAAGAAACTATAAAGGAATAGAAAGGGAAGAAAAATAGAAAAATTAGATATTCATTCATTATTCAAATCATCATATATGTTAGTTCTGTTAAGAAGATTATTAGAGTAAAAATGAGAGATTGCAATGGACAGAGACGACAAGAATTGAGAGTTTTTCTCTCTACCTTTCATTCATTGAAGCAGAGACAAATATACAAGAAAGATTCACTGTTTTACCTACTGCAATACATTAAAAATATTACAGTTGAATTTTAACAAAAAACATACACCAAATCAAGTCTTAATCTCAACTAAGCATGTCATAAAAACTTAACTTGATTGGCCTAATATCTGCTTCACAACCACTGCAGCCTAACAAAACAAAAACAGAAACTTTGGCTCCAAAAATACAATTTAAACCTTCAGCTGGATTTTGTCACATTTCCAGCAGGTTATCACCAACTTCATCACTCCTCATTGATAATCTTGCTGGAAACACCAAGTCTAAGTCTCAAGCTCTCAAACTTGGTCTTAGGTAAACCATTGGTCATAATATCCGCAATTTGCTCTTCACCCTTGCAGTGGACTAATTTCACTTCAACATTGCATGGTATTTAATTTTGATGTGTTTTGTTCTATCGTGTAAGATTGGATTCTTTGCCATTGCAACGACTGACTGATTGTCACAAAGTATCACAGTTGGTTCTTCTTGAATTTGCCTCAAATCTTGCGTAATCTTCCTCAGCCAAATAGCCTGGTTAATTGCGACAGCTGCAGAAATATATTCTGCTTCTGTCGTGGACTGAGCTATGGTGTTTGCTTCTTGGAGTGCCAGCATATGGCCCTTGAATTCAAAAAGAAAACATAACCTGATATACTCCTTATATCATCAATGCATCCAGCCCAATCACTATCTAAGTAACCAACAAGCTACAGTTTTTTAGTCTTCTTGAACCATATTCCAAGTTTAGCACTTCCCTTAACATACCTCAGCACCCTCTTGGCTACCTTGAGATGGATTTCACTCAGGCTGGTCATGAACCTTGAGAGAACACTAGTTGCAAACATTAAATTTGGTCTAGTGGCAGTCAAGTATAGAAGGCAACCAATGATGCTTCTATATATTTTTTCATCAACTTTCTTAGCCCCATTATCCTTGCTCGGTTTCAAATTCACAACCAGTGGAGTGTCCACTGATTTGCATCTATCCATGTTAAACTTATGCATAATTTCATTTGCAAACCTCCTTTGATTAACAAATATGCCATGATGACTTTGGTGGATTTCCATTCCAAGAAAGTAGGACATTCCCCCAAGGTCAGTCATCTCAAATTCATTGTGCATGGCTGTTTTGAAATCATTAAGTTGAGTTGAGCTGCTCCCCATGATAAGTAAATTATCAACATATAATGAAACTATGGTGAATTCACTTTCCAGCCTTCTCACATATAAAGTATGTTCATTAGCACTCCTTGCATATCTCAAGCTGATCAAATACTCATTAATTCTACTGTACCAAGCTCTAGGAGCTTGTTTCAGACCGTATAGGGCCTTCCTCGCAAATACACCTTATGTTCCTGCCCTTCCACTTCATATCCCTTCGGTTGCTTCACATAGATTTCCTCATTGAGCCAACCATTTAGGAAGGCAGATTTGACATCTAATTGGTAGATTCTCCACTCAAATTGGGCTGCCAAGGCAAGGAGAAGCCTTATAGTATCATGCCTAGCCGGGTGCAAAAGTATCCGAAAAATCCACTCCAAATTGTTAAGCAAAACCCTTAACAATTAATCTTGCTTTATGATTGTACACTGATCCATCATGCCTCAACTTCTTTTTGTAGATTCATTTTACTTGGATTACTCTTCTAGTTGTTGGTCTGTCAACTAATTCCCATGTGCCATTCTTTTCAATCATTTTTATCTCCTCCTCCATTGCATTCCTCCAAACCTCTGACTTAGTAGCCTCCCTAAAATTTGCAGGCTCAAGCAAGGCTACATTACATCTCATAAACCTCTACTAGAGACCTTGTCCCCCTGACTGGAAAATCATCATCCAAATCTGCCTCTTCTGGATCATCAAATCTGCCTGCTGTTGTGTCTGCAATCTGCTATCTTTTGTTTTCTTCAACTTCATTTTTCTTCCAATTCTAGATCCCCTTTTCATCCACCTTCACATCCCTAGTGATCTGTATTTTCCTGGTTGCTGGAACATAAATTCTATAGGCCTTGGATTGCTCACTGTACCCTATAAAAATCCCTATCATAGCATTCTCATCGAGCTTACCCCTTTTGACTATTGGAATAAATGCATAGCACACACTCCCAAAGACTTTCAGGTTTCTAACCGAGGCCTTCATTCCATACCAGGCTTCATACGGTGTTTGATTGGTTAAAGCTTTAGTAGGGAGTCTATTAAGTAAATAGACCTCTATATTTATAGCTTCTGCCCAAAAGGATTCGGGCAACTTCTTCTTTGCAACCAAGCAGCTTGCCATCTCCATGATAGTCCTATTCTTCCTTTCACTGACTCTATTTTGCTGTGGAGTATAGGGACAACTGAACTGGTGAACAATTCCAGCTTGCCTACAGATTTTTTCAAATTCAGTGGAGGTGCACTCACTCCCATTGTCACTTCTGACAGTTTTAATACTTAAACCTGATTGTTTTTCAACCTGCAATTTAAACCTATCAAATACCACTGCAACTTCACTCTTCAGTTTCAAAAAATAAACCTAACACATCCGGGAATAGTCATCAATGAAAAGGATAAATTATTTGCTTCCATTTAGGGATGGTGTTTGCATAGGTCCACACACATCCGTGTGGATAAGCTTGAGCTTTCCAATAGCTCTCCAGGCTTTGTTTGCTGGGAATGACAGTCTACTCATCTTGCCAAGTTGACAAGTAGCACAAATGGATTTGGTTTCTGCAATTTCAGGCAGATTATAGACCAACTCTTTGGTTTGAATTTCCCTAAGGCTATGATAATTGAAATGGCCTAATCTTTTGTGCCACAACTCTGACTCATCCATATCAACAACATATGCTTCTGATTCTAGTTTTTTCAGTCTAATAGGGAAACTTTTTCCCATAATTCTAACCCTCATTAACTCATTGCCTTCATTGTCCAGGATTGTGCAAAACTGATCCTGGAAGTGCAGGGCATACTTCCTTTCTATCATTTGTCCAACACTGAACAGATTATGACTTATATTAGGCACATACAAGACATTGGAATGAGTTTGATACCTGTTTTCGTTTTCACAGCAATATCTCCTCTACCTTTCACAACCACAAACTCCCCATTTCCAACTTTACTTTGGAGTGGTAAGACTTGTCCAAGTTCACAAAGTCCTCCAAGTTTGCTGTCATATGATTGGTACACCCATTGTCTATCAACCAATCATCATTATGGGATTGAACTGCAAAACATGAAACCATGAATAGTTGCTCTGAATCTGAGCTTGGTTGCTGGTCCTCCACAATCTATGCTTGCTGTGTTGACTGATTTGGTTTGTTTTTGCACACCTTTTCAATGTGACCATATTGTTTTCATGTTTCACATTGAATGTTAGGCCTAAATCAACACCTTTTTTCCACCATGCCCCTTCTTCTTGTAGTGAGCACATGGTGGAAACTCTCTCACTCCAGTCGGTTTGCTCCACTGGTTTGCCATCCTCTCATTTCCTTTCTTTTCTCCCGCAGGTCTCTTGCTTCCACTCTGGCCTGGTTTGCCTTTGAATCTAGCCACCATTGCACCCTCACTAGAGTCCTCTTGCCTCAACAATCTCCTTTGCTCTTGAGCTTGCAAGGCATACACTAAATCAGTGAGAGTGATTTGTGTCAAATCCTTAGAATCCTCAAGTGAGGATATCTTAGATTCAAACCTTTCGGGTAAGCTAACAAGAACCTTTTCCACTATCCTTTTATCTGTCATCTCCTCTCCCATTAATCTGATTTTATTCACTACATTCATCAGCCTATCCACATATTCCTTTACGGATTCTGACTCCTACATTTTCAACATATCAAACTCCCTCCTTAAGTTCAACACCTGCATATTATTTGTTGTATCACTGCCACCGAAGTCCTCTTTGAGTTTATCCCATGCTTCCTTGGCTGTCTCATATGCCATGATTCTAGTGAACACTTGCTCAGTCACTGCTACATGGATATGAGACAAGGCTCTTAGTGATTTGGTGGCTTTTTCATCGTGCAATTTGATCTGGTTCAAGGTAGGGTTTGGCCCCAATACTGGTGGTTGTTTATCCTCTTCAACATACTGCTATAATCCTTGTCTTCTGAGGAAGGTTTTCATTTTGACAGCCCAAATGTGATATTGATCCCCATTAAAGGTTGAAGGAGTGAGGGAAATTGTGTGTTGTGCCATTGAGTCAGGCTGTGTGGAACTTAATAGCTGGTTTCAGTGTAACAAAGGTTGAGAAAGTGAGTGAGAAGAAATGAGTTTATCAGGCCCTTAAGATCAGTAGAGCTCTGATACCAATTGTTAGTTATGTTAGGAAGATGATCAGAGTAAAAATGAGAGATTGCAATGGAGAGAGACGACAAGAATTGAGAGTTTTTCTCTTTACCTTTCATTCATTGAAGCAGAGACAAATATACAAGAAAGATTCACTGTTTTACCTACTGCAATACATTAAAATATTACAATTGAATTTTAACAAAAAAACATACACCAAATATCTCAACTAAACATGTCAGAAAAACTTAACTTGATTGGCCTAATATTTGCTCCATAACCACTGCAGCCTAACAAAACAAATACAAAAACTTTGGCTCCAGAAATACAATTTAAACCTTCAGCCAAATTTTGTCCATTTCCAACAGGTTATCACCAACTCCATCAACATATACCATACTACAATAGAAATTTATCCAGAAAGTCCATATAAAATTTTACAGAAGCGACACTACAATAAGAAACACAGAGTTTTTTTCTCACTATACTCATTGTGTGATGGTCTTCCAATCAATTGTCTAATATTATTGGTCTGCAAGGAAAACTTCCCAACACTAAAAGTCTACTATAGTTTGAGTTTGAAAATGCTGCCAACAATAGAAAAGGGCATGCGGATACATCATTCGCTCAGTTTCAATGAGTGAAGATATTTCTTACCTTCCCTCTGCTATTGTATCACTAAATTGGTTGACATTTAATGGAGAGACTAGTGGGTCAACTCCTTGGCTAAGATCATTTGGATTGTCGCTTTTATTCTTGCTGTAACTTGCCATAGATGAAGATGTGCCAATACCGCTGTTCATAATAAAGCTTCTTGTTTCATCATTAAAATTCCAATCAGTTAAATAACTTGGCTTTGATGTAACAACTCCAATTTCTATGTCTCTAGTAAGCATGTTCACAACTTGGGACATTGGTGGCCTTGACATTGCTGATGCTTGAGTGCACAAGAGACCCACAGCTATTACTCGAAGAGCTTCATTTTCATCGAACTCTATCAGTGTGGGATCAACCAGCCCCAAACTTTGGTTGCTTTCATGAAGACTCCAAGCCTAGAAATAACGTATAGACAATTGAAAAAGAGACTAAATTAAAAAAAAAAAAAAAAAAATCAAAGTTCCAAGTTTATTTTGTTTACCCATTCAAGAAGATAAATCTTTTCCCTATCCAAGTTAGTATGAGAGTTTGCTCTTCCACTGATAATCTCCAAAGCAACAACACCAAAACTGAATACATCAGCCTTATATGTCAGGTGCCCACGCATTGCATACTCTGGTGCAAGATAACCACTAAAAGATAATTAAGTATTTCTAAAGGTTATAATCCAAAACAAGCTATTATGGAAGACATGGTAATCATGAAATGATTGAAGGAGCTTACATAGTCCCTGCAACACCTGTGCTGATGTGAGTTTTCTTATCATCAAACAGCTTTGCCAATCCAAAATCTGATATCTTGGGACAGAGTTCTGTATCAAGTAAAATATTGCTTGCTTTGACATCTCGATGTACAATCTTTGGTTTTGACTCCTCGTGAAGATATGCTAGACCTTTTGCGGTTCCCAAACATATTTTAAATCGAGTAGGCCAATTGAGATGAAACTTCCTATTTCCTGAATTAAGGCTAAGTATTAATTATCAACATTAGTTTTAAAATTACCCAAGGATGGTTATTAAAGATCATACCAAATAATACTTTATCAAGGCTGTTGTTTTCATGATATTCATAAACAAGTAGGCGCCTAATTCCTTCAATACAGCATCCATACAATTTCACAAGATTGCGATGTTGCACTGCAGTTATGGAAGCGATCTCATTAATAAACTGATTTTTCCCTTGGTGGGATCCCAGTGAAAGTTGCTTCACAGCTATTATCCTTCCATTAGAAAGCACACCCTATAGCACCAGATTTAACAACACAAATCATATCGCTCCTCAATGAAAATTCGAAAGGTAAAATCAACCTAGTCTGGCTATGACCATACATTATTACATAATTCGCCACAACCCAAGTTCCAAGTAAACTATCTATAGGTTGCAACTAGTAAATGTAAGACATAAAAATACCTTGTACACAGGTCCAAATCCTCCCTCTCCTAGCTTATTTGAAGGGTTGAAGTCTTTTGTTGCAGATCTCAACTCAGCATAACTGAAAGTTTTCAGTTTAGGTCCTATTCCAAGTAGCACTGCATATGGAAGCAAGATAAAAGATTGCATGAGATGGAAGGATTTGAAGTACAAAGAGATGAATTACAATAGTAGCCTTGGCTATGTTCAAGATTGCTAGAACAGAGTCAACACTTTTCTTATAACTATATTCTGGAATCTACTTTTCTCAAATGCCCAGAGAACCTTTGACTTTGAGACGAAGTGAAAAGTGGAATCCATTAATTTTCAAGAAGAAACTTGGTATCAGAGAGTTTATGACTACTATTATCGTTAAGTTGTCATGGGTGCTCTTACCTTCCGCATCATCATTGTCTCCTTTCATCCTCGTATAAAAAACTAAAACCATCAATATAAAGCCCAAAATTGAAAGAGGGACTGCAATACCAACAATCAACCCAATCTGGTTTTTTCGTTCAATACCAATAGTTGGTCGGAATTCTGAGTAGTAAAATTCAGTTATATCAGCATAAAGCAGATTAGCACAGTTATAGTAATTCATCTTAAATAGATTAAGACTCAAAGAAATCACATAGTTTACCTGGAGTGACACTAAGAGCAGAAATTAATGGTCCATAGCTACCATCTCCAGGTATGCAGCAGGTCCCTTTACCAGCCCAAAATAGGTGAATTTCAAGATGGTTCTCAGTCACATTAGCGTTAAAGCTCTTCGTAATTGCTCTTCTAACCCCACCTGCTTCCTTTGATATGTCAAAATCCTTCCACCGACGAGTTCCCTATAGGACAAATGATGAGAGGTAGCATTCCTATTTCTGTGTAAAAATTATTAGATGCAATTGTAATAGTAGAATCTGTACATAATAAGGGTATGAATCACAGGATCTCCAAATAATATTTTCTTTTACCGGATTGTTTACCTGGATATAGATATCGAAAACACGCCTTCCAAGGCTCCCCCATTTTCTTGAGTCTTGATTTTCATAAACTATTTCGGCAAAGAACAAGCTTACATTGTAAGGCCCATTCTCAAGACCAAGTCCATAATATCGAAGTGAGCCAATCGATTTTCTTGAAGTTTGATAAAGATCTGGGGGTGTAGTTTTACTATTAATTACTTTGGTTCCGGAATTTTGAGCAAGTGTGTTAAATGCTTGTCCTCCCTCAGTAAACAAAAAACCCACATTACTAATTGCCCATTTTTGTGAATTAAGTACAACAAAAGAAGTTTCACCGATATCTCTGTCGTCGGCTTCATAATCTCTGAACTTTTTGCCACCAGAGTTGATTGCTATATGTGAATCTGCAAACGCAAAGATAATGTTGAAGTATGAATCTTTTGATAGTGGCATGACGGCATAACCCAAGAATTTCAGTTTGTGATAAACTCAAATAGAAGTTAGTTTCAGTTTTATTATTTTGTAACTTTTTGCAACTGTTGTTGTCAGTTATTCTTTTAAAACTTATAAAAAGGAAGGTTAGATGTATGTTCAATTAAAAAAATTGTTCTCCTTTTACACAAGTTCATCTTGTTCTTTATCTTTATGAAATTAAAAGCTTGAGAATTGTATTTCCCGACTTCTAATTTCTAACAGATAAAACTCCAATGATAATATTGATCTAAATTTCATACAGCAAAGATTCGGACAAAATTCATCGAATGGTTTTTTTTTTAATAACTTCCGATAACTAAATACATGCTAAAACAAACTATAATAAATCATCCAATCTTGACAGTCTAGAAGCTAGTTATGTACCCACCTCATTTAGTGGTACTTGGAGAATTATGATCATTACATATAGTCCTACTTACCTTATTTAGTGGGGTTCGGATGTATCTCTTATCCAACTCTTTCTACTCAAGCTCAAAGCAAGTCCCCTAACTTGAATTTTGGATATTATCCTTTCAATTGAGTCAGTCAAAAGTACCAGTAGAAGTAGAACTAGTAGGTTATATTTCTGTTATCATAGCAATCCTCCAAGCCCCCCTAAACAAAGGTGGGTAGGGTATACTAAGTAGGATTTGATATTCCATGCAGGTGGAGTTGAACTTTGGACTTCTTTTTGAAGTCAGAACCTCTATTATTAAATTTCTTCTAACCTCGAGCAATACAATAAAAAATACAAAAAGAAATCATTGGCAAACAGAGAGAACATTCTACCAAACATTCATGACGAAAGCAACTTACAGCGTGGAGTATTTCTATTGCAGGGGAAGTATCTCTGGAGACAGTTCAATCCATAGAAATCACTGGCAAACACACAGAACATTACTCGTTTTCTTTATTGAAAATTCAAAAAGAAGCATGTCGCTTAAGGGAATTGTAACGCACCTGATGTTCGATATGTCAAATGTGAAGTTGTTGCCCACTAGATTCCTATACAATTCAATGTAATTAATGATCAATTATATATCACAGTTTGAAGTATACTTGTTAGAGATAAAATGTGTTTTATTATATGCTAAATGTAAATACAAATTTGAGAAATAGTTTACTAGATTATAAAGTCGTCAAAATTGAGCTTTTTCTGATGATATTAGTTCTTTTGAGTGTCAAAAAAGAAGAGATCACCGGGTTACTAGCAACGATAAGTGTTGGCCATGAAGATTGGTGTTTGACTCTTTCATGCAATCATGTAAATTATTATAAATTAAAGAACCAAGGAAAGTGGATTCATGGTTTGAGAGACGTACAACGTTACATCATTAGTCACCCATTTCGGAAAAGATCTTGATAGATAATTGTAAGAAACATCTCTGCAGGAAATAGTATGATAACCACAATTTAGTAGGAAACATATATAGATAGTATATATTATATATTATATTATATATTATATATAAATATAACACCAAGGAACAAATCAGGAAAGAATTCAAATTGCTTTTAATAGAGACTACTGATTTCATTGTTGAAATAGATTTAGGCATAATTTACAACATAAGTGAATGTAACAATTGCTATCTCAGTTTGACCAAACACTGTTGAATGAAGACTTACTAGTTTGAAGTTTTACACCTTTTTGCTGAGAAGTCCTCCTGATAGACTGTTGTTTCCAAGAAACCTGACCATTGAAATTGTATAGACGAGAGCAACGGAAAGAAAGAAAGAAAGAAATAAAAAAAAGATTTATTAAATGAAAGATAAGGGTTAGACCTAAATCTAAGATAAAACTGAAGGATTCAAATCTTGAAATTGATGGAGAGAAGTATATAAAAAATTACAACTGAGTAGGGGATCAATACTGAACAAAGCACTAGGATTTGACCACTTAAGTTGTTGAAACTCAAATCCCTGCCAAAAGAGAAAAAAAAATAAAATAAGACGCAAACAAGAAAGAAGAGACCACTCTGTGCCAATAAAATACTAACTTACAGAGCCTGTAAACTTTTATTTTTCCAATGTAAGATGGAATGCTACCATTGATCAGAGCATTTCTTAGAGATCTATGAAGAAAAAAAAAAAAAAAAAAAAAAAAATGTCAGTGTCAAAATGAATCAGCTCAGAGAAAGTATCAGAAACTAAGAAGTTAGATATAACTTAATGGAGTATCAGTAACTTACAAATAAGTCAAGTTCTTCATATTTTTAATGAAATCTAGAGACGACTAACATTGTTTAAGTCAGTGATTTGCCTACACAATTATTCAAACGTCACTGTATATATCTGCCAAATTATATCTTTGAATTAGCTTTTTAGAGAGTAGTACTATTTGAATTATCCTTACAATTTCTCCAATAAGGTCAAGTTAGAAAAACTGGATGGTATAGGACCTTCAAGTGAGTTCCCTCCAACTCCTACACAAGTATTTGTAAACAAAATAATCAGAGTGCTTAAATCTAGACAGAGCTAGAGAAAATATTTGCTACCATTCACAATGATAAATTGAATATCATGAAAGAAGTTTTTCATATATTACAACGTTGTAGCTTGTTCCAGTTCCCAATGAACTCTGGTATTTTGCCTGTCAACGCACATCATATGCCCCCTGAAATTAAAAAATCACTTATTGTAAGCCGAGTACAGCAATTTAATCTTCAACTAGCACAAACATAAAGCCATAAGCATGTGGAAAGGATCTCCCTACATTATTTTCATGTTTCGAAGATTAGCAAAAGTCGAGGGAATTCGCCCCTCCCTCCAGAACTGTCTATGAAACTGTTAAGTCCAACAAGATAAATTCTTATTTTCATAAGACATATATCTCGGGTGTAAAAATTAGTGTTTTACTTGGAAACTAACTGAGAAAAAAATATTTTAAACAAATAAGTAAGATTTTACATTTCCTCTAGTTTGTCTAAGAATCCCAATTCAGGAGGATGTTCCAGAGAAATTGTTGGAGCCTATAGCCCTGCATGAAGGTATCAAAAGATTACTCTCTAGTGCTCATTATTTTATATTAATTCATACATTTGCAAGACATTATTCAAGCAGAATTCATGAAATATTAATTGCAAGTTATGTATAAGTATAATCGGTCCAACTGTGATTTTGAGTTTTCCTAAACATAACATGTAACATTGAACCATAGGACACCTTTTTATCTTAAGACTTCCAATATTTTTTTTTTTTTTTTTTTTTTTTTTTCTCTAGGCTAAAGAGTGATTATGGCTATAGTTTCAGAATAATAAAAAAGATCATCTCACAATCGTCCCCATATACTATACGTGACTGATGTAGAATATAAGAGAAGAATTAAATAGACGGGAAGAAAAAAGATATCATGGCCTAAAAAAATACTAGAAATCTCCTTAATAGTACTAAGTCATTCAAATTCAATTCAAAGAGGAAGATCTAACATAGGAAATCTAAATCTAACTTAAGAGTCCTCTCTTCAAGTTCCCAATTTAAAATCTTTCCTTAATTAACAGTTAGATTTTTTTTTTTTCTCTGCTTTCATTTAATAAAATAATCATAGAGAATTTATTTGAATCTTGCTATCATTAAAATAAACAAAAAAAAAAAAAAAAAAAAAAAAAAGAGAAGGAGAAAGTAAGCCAATCTTACAGATAAGTTAACTGCTTAAGTTTTCCAAGTTCCTTTGGGAGGGCCCTGAAAGGGTATTTCGGCTAACCCTTCTGGACACAAGAAAGACAAAGTTATAACACCCCAAGACCCAGAAAACAAGAATTAGCAACAAAATCCAAATTCATTTTCCAAAAATAAACAAATATAATCTAAATCATGTTTTCAATCACAAGGTGTTTTTCAAAACTTACAAAAACTCCAATCGAGATAAGTTTCCAATAAACGCAGGCAAGGGACCGTAGAAGTAATTTTGATTAATTTCACTGCAACGTTCAAACAGAAAAAAATTATCAAATCTAATGTAATGTTTGTACATTAATTAGTAAATAATTAAGGTCAAAGTTGATTTGTGCAAATCAAATGCAGGGAAAGGAATAGATTAATCCATACAGATGTATCAGAAATTGCAAAGCCACTAGTTCTTCTGGGATTTCTCCTGTTTTTTCCAGTTGAAATACCCTCCTGGAAAAAATTAAGGCAAGTTCCATTAATATCTACTAAAATTTGACCTGATATTACAGTTGCACATCTCTTGGATTAGGGAAATTATACACTTCCTTACAGGTTGAATTTTTTATACAACTTTAGGGAAGGTTTTACCACAATTTTTTAGAAGCTATAACAATATTATTGATATTAATCTGGAATAAAAAAATTACAAAAGAGTGAACAAACTATCCACAAAATTAAAAATCCATCAAAAGCAAAAAAAAAAAAAAAAAAAAATCTATACTGTATAGCTTGAATATATGAAGGAAAAATTATAAATAACTCAAAAAATAATGCTAATAGCTAGCACAAAATTAACCCAAAGACCCTTCCAAATCCAAAGGAATAAAGAAAATAGATATATCCTAAAATGCTTTAAAGACTGCACTTTGTTCCGCGAAAAGGAAAACTTCTGAACTTCTTTTGGAACTAGTATGATCCGTCTATGCTTGAACAAAACTTGAAACTATGTTAATTGAAAATTTCACTGAATTTGGTTGGGAGAAAGAGAGTGTACAGGTGAGTAATATGGCATGTCGAACTATTTTCTAAGGAACAGTCACATTTGATAGCAGGATTGTGGTCATCCAAGCTGGCATTTGCATCTGTGGCAGTTCCACTGCATGGCTTTCCACTTATGTTCCACGCGCCTGGCTCTGGTTGTGTATTCCATTTTTGAAATATTGAGTTCAATGCCTTCACTGTTCACAACAAAAAGCCAATCAATAAAATTTTCATAAGTAGAAACGCATGCAAGCATACAAGTAATCGCACACTTTCATAAAATTAACACACACAGGATACAAGAGAGAGAGAGAGAGAGAGAGCACCTTCATCAGCGTCAGTAACTAGAGCAGTGAAGTTGCGAAATAAGAAGAAAAAGATGAAGCAGAAGTGGGAAAATCCTGAAGAAGAAAGTAGAATTTTCACTCTGGAGTTCATGTTGGTCTGTTTACATGAGAATTTGGGAGAATGATTTCAGGTTTCCAATTATTATATATTGGCATATTAATTAGAGAATTGAGTTGAACACTGTTCAAACAAAGAATGGTAGCTAGCTTGTGGACCATGCTGATGATGAGTCAATGCTGATAAAGCAAAGATTATAAATACATTTTTCTTTTTTGTAAAAAAAGTGAAAATTCTATAATAATATTTAATATACCTAGAATTTTTTTTTTTTAATTAATTTTGATTTGTAATGTGCTATAGATTTTTAGAATCCAAGTTTAAGTTTGGCTAATTTTTTTTCTTGATTGTTTAAATAAACTCTGTATCAAATAGAAGTTTGGAGTTTGAATCTTCACGTGTATAAATAATCATCCTCTTTTGGAAAATGTCTTCTATTAAAAAAAAAAAAAAAAAAAATTGGACAAAGTTCTTATGTGAAGAAATTGTTACATGACAAAATATTTTGTAGTTTCCAAATTAGGTTAATTTTTTTATTTTTTTTATTTTTTATTAATAGCTTAATAACATAAGTAAACTTGGTCAAAATTAAAAAAAAATTAATTAATTAATTTGGAGTTCGGAGTTTGGATCTTCGCATGTAAAAACTCATCCTCTTATGAAAATATCCTTTTTTTTTTTTTTAATTTAGACAAAGTTCATATGTGAAGAAATTATTACAGGATAAAATTTTGTAATTTCCAAATTTGGTTGAAATTTTATTTTCCAATAGCTTCCTAACACAAGTAAATTTGGTCTAAATTATTAAAAAATTTCATATTGTATATAATTGAAACTTATTAAATTGTAGTTTGATACCATTAATTATTATTATTATTTAAATTGCTATCATCGAGGGCCAGCCTAGAAATTAATATTGTATATAATTTGGTTGACTCTTATAGTTTCAGCTTGAGAGTTGCATTTGTTAGATATTAATTATGTTATATGTGACGTAGAACGTCTGGCGGATGAATTCATGGAGCGAACTGAATGTCAGAAGTCCATACGTAACACCCAAAGATCCTAAACCAGTATGTCCCATTCAAACAACCATAACTTTTGATCTTGGAAGAGTTATGAGACCCGTAAGATATTGTTGGAAAACTTATTTCGAGCCCGTTGACATGGAAACCTGCATTTGCTAGTCGGAGGTCGTTTTTGAGGTCAAAATCCACCGTTTTGACATGTTTCGGGGCTGTTTTAGTTGTTTGAGTGTTTTTTCCTATTTTATTGAGGTTTTCTTGTTTTAATTAATTTAGGTTTTTTTTTTTCCTTTTGTTATTAGGAATCTATATAAACTTATTTTTCGTTTTGGATGTTATTCAATGAATTATTCATATTTTAAGGCTTAAGTTTTATGATTGAGACTAGGGGTGGGAAAAAAAGACCAAAAATAGAACCAAATCGAAAACCGGACCGAAACCGAACCGAAAATTCATTTTTTCTGAAATTTGGTTCGATCTTCGGTTTGAAAAATTCATAAACTGATTAATCGATTTAGTTTTTGGTTTACAAGTTTTTTTTAAACCGGTTAACCGAAACCAAATTCTAAAACCGGTTTCAAAAAATAAATAAACAAAAACCTTATATATTAATTATAATTAAACTTCTTAGAGCCCACCACCACTTTTCTCTTTTATCTACCTTTTCCATCATTTTAGTCTTCTCCTCCACTTTTCTCTTTTATCTTTCTCGCCACTTTTCTCTTTCATCTTCCTTTTTCATCATCATCTTCTCCTTCACTTTTCTCTTTCATCTTCCTTTTTCATCATCATCTTCTCCTCTACTTTTCTCTTTCATCTTCATCTTCTTCTCCTCTATATCTTTTCACTTTTCACTTTTTCTTCGTCTTTTTCTCCATCTCTTCTCCTTCAGTTTTGTGATTTTATCTTTCTTTTCCTTCTTATCTTATCTTTATCTTCCTTTTCTTCTCTTTCTCTTTCATCTTTTTCTCCAATATTCAAGTTTATTTGATTTGTGAAGATATAAGAAATTTGGATGGCTTAATATAATTTGATTTCTTCGGTGAAGAATAATATATATTTATTATTTATATCAAAACTTGCAGGTGAATATGTAAATTTCTCTTTGTTCTAGTAATGGATACTACATTTGGCTAAAATTCTAGAGGAGAAGTTCTGGTGATCGGCTAAACATTCTCAGTTATTCTGATTTTAAAAATCAGCTCAAAACCGGTTAACCGGTGAACCGAACTGTATATTCAGTTCGGTTCATAACCAGTTTAATCATATAACCAGTTTGGTTTCGGTTTAAGTTTTTACTTGAACCAAAAAATCGGTTCGGTTTATAAACTACCCTATCCATTCGGTTAACCGGAATATCCCACCCCTAATTGAGACTTGTTATTAGTTCTAAAGGTGTAACCGAGTGTAAGCCTTCTTTTATCATGCTGACTTGTTGTGTCAATCTGTCTTGCAGTCCTGGGGTATTCATTTATGGTAGGGAAATGAGAATTTTAAACAGCTGGAGTCTCCTAACAAGTAGAAAAACCTCTGAAATGGTAGTGAAATTTATCCTAAAACTTACAGCTGGAGTCTTCTTTTCTCATTTCACATTGTGCTCAACAGTGATAAGCAAAATTGTAAAATTCCTACCAAATATTGTTTGAACAAATGAAATCTATACATATGTGACTGAGGTCATCATATAATAATTGGTAATCCTTTTTTTAAGATGTTTATTATTTGTTTTATATACGATTGAATTGTATTAGGGAAGTCTTTATATAAATCGAGTGGATAATATTATCAAATTTAGATTCTAATTAAGGAGGTCTGAATTTAAAAAATGAAAATTAAAACTAAAAGAAACAGTCCGACTACTCCTGTATATATATACTATATACTATAAACTCTTCAAGATTCTCAACATCGAAGCATTTAGTATGCTTTTAAGTTATTATTTGACTTTTATATATAGTCTTCAGGTGGTGACTTGAATTTTCCTAGTTGGAAATTTGTTAAAAATTGACATCTAAGGAGCCCACCGTCGTGGGAAAAATGAGACAAGCTAATTTTTTATTGGTTGACGATGTACTACGATCAATATTTGATGTCGCTATTGATATAATTGAACTTTATTAGTTTGCAGTTGAATTAATAATAATATTTAATATTATTTAAAATACTAGTAGAGTTTTCTATCATCGTGGGCCACCAAATTAAGATAGCCTAGAAATTTTGCATGGGCTCCATAAAAATAAGGTCCACCAAAGTATTCCTTGTTTGTTGTAGAGTGAAATGGAAAACCTGAAGAGAATCTAAAAAATCGTATCCTTATTCTTATCCTATCCTCTTTCTCCTAGTGGAGAGACTAGTGGGTCAACTCCTCGACTAAGATCATTTGGATTGTCGCTTTTATTCTTGCTGTAACTTGCCGTAGATGAAGATGTGCCAATATCGTTGTGCATAATAAGGCTACTCGTTTCATCATTAAAATTCCAATTAGTCAAATAACTTGGCTTCGATGTAACAGCTCCAATTTCTATGTCTCCAGTAAGCATGTTCACAACTCGATCGGGACATTGGTGGCCTTGACATTGGTGATGCTTGAGTGCACAAGAGAACCACAGCTATTACTCGAAGAGCTTCATTTTCATCGAACTCTATCAGTGTGGGATCAACCAACCCCAAACTTTGGTTGCTTTCAAGAAGACTCCAAGCCTAGAAATAACATATAGACAATTGAAAAAGAAACTAAATAAAAAAAAAAAAAAATCAAAGTTCCAAGTTTATTTTGTTTACCCATTCGAGAAGACAAATCTTGTCCCTATCCAAGTTAGTATGAGAGTTTGCTCTTCCACTAACAATCTCCAAAGCGACAACACCAAAACTGAATACATCAGCCTTATTTGTCAGGTGCCCACACATTGCATACTCTGGTGCAAAATAACCACTGCAAGATATTTAAGTATTTCTAAAGGATATAATCAAAAACAAGCTATTATGGAAGACATGGTAATCGTGAAATGATTGAAGGAGCTTACATAGTCCCTGCAACACCTGTGCTGATGTGAGTTTTCTTATCATCAAACAGCTTTGCCAATCCAAAATCTGATATCTTGGGACAGAATTCTGTATCAAGTAAAATATTGCTTGCTTTGACATCTCGATGTACAATCTTTGGTTTTGACTCCTCATGAAGATATGCTAGACCTTTTGCGATTCCCATACATATTTTAAATCGGGTAGGCCAGTTGAGATGAAACTTCTTATTTCCTGAATTAAGGTTATTTCTTGAATTAAGGTTGAGTATTAATTATCAACATTCGTTTTAAAATTACCCATGGATGGTTATTAAAGATCATACCAAATAATACTTTATCAAGGCTGTTTGATAAAAGCTTGAAAATAAATATTTTGTTAGTGATTCAATTGGATTATTTGTGGAAAAATGTGTTTAATTTGTGAAATTTAACTTAATTATTTCATAAAAGTCTTTTATGGGATCACAGGTATGTTTTGAGTGTTTTCAGGTTCTTAAAGATGATATTCAGATGAAGGTTATATCGACGATGGAATATGGGATGAAAAGAATCAAATGGTTCGTGATTCGGAGCTGAAACAAAGAAGTTAGGGCGATTTGAAGTTAAAGTGAAAATCTTGGAAAACGCTCCAGTTTTGAATATGCGACAGTAATTTGACAATAACTTGAGCTGTAGATTTTGGATTGAGATGATTCTTGAACCGTTGGAAAGCTCATTCAAAGGCTACAATTCTGTGTTTACCACTTGGCAAGATTCGAATGTTATCATGCTCAAAAACCACCATCTTGTCAAGATTTCCAGTTCTGGGGCAGAATCAACTATGCCTAGGCATAGTGCCGCGGCACAACTACGATTCTGGACATTTTTACATTAAATTTATGACGTGTATTTCCTGTTTTAAGAGCTCTAAAGTGATTAGAATAGTAGGAATCATAACCCTAAAAACCTAGGAGTATAAATAGATGTCTTTAGCTGATTTTTAAGGGAAGAAAGGAAAGAAGTTCATCGGCTCTTTGGAGATTGGAAATTCCTGCAATTTTGAGTCATCAATTAGAGAAGTTTTTCTACTCTTTCTTATTCTCATGTTT